GAGGTCAGGGAGCTGTTGCAATGGTCCGGGCTTTATTGCTGGGAGGATCTGGACTTGGTTCCAGCACCCAGACATTCATCACCACACAGTTAAGCTACAGACGTCTGCAGTCACAGGGAGAAGCTTGGTTACAAATGTTTATAACATCCTCCTCTTTCACGCCTTGAAAACAGATTCTTTGTTAAATTTTTTTTCCCCAAAAACAAACTCAAGCTTTAAGAATTCAAAACCCAGGGACGCCTGGGTGGCTCAGTTGGTTAAGTGGCTGCCTTCGGCTCAGGTCATGATCCCAGTGTCTTGGGATCGAGTTCCGCATCGGGCTCCTTGCTCCGCGGGGAGCCTGCTTCTCCCTCTGACACTCTGTCTGCCTGTGCTCTCTCTCTCTCTCTCTCTCTGACAAATAAATAAATAAATAAAATCTTTAAAAAAAAAAAAAAAGAATTCAAAACCCAGTATGTCTCATCTCGCAATTCTACTTCTGAATACATACCAAAAGACTTGAAGGCAGGGACTCATATGAATGCTGTTCTTAGTAGCAGTATACACAATCACCAAAAGGCTGGAACAAGCTGTGTCCCACGATGGATGAATGGAGAAATGGAAGTGATCTACACATACAATGGAATATAGCCTTGAAAGGGAAGGAAATTCTGACGTATGCTACAGGTAGATGAATGAACCCCGACGACAGCATCCTTAGTGAAACAAAAGGACAGGTACCGCTTGATTCCACTTACAGGACATATCTAGATAATCATTCATCGAACAGAAGGTAGAATAGAGGTTATCAGGGCAGAGCAAGGGGGCAATGGGAATGTATGTTTAATGGATACAAAGTTTCAATTCCGGATGATGAAAAAGTTCCAGAGATGGGTGGTGGTGAGTGGTTGCACAACAATGTGAATGTACTTGATACCACTTAAGAGAGACTTAAAAATCCAGTTATGGAATACATAGGTCATGGGGTAAAGGGCACAGTGCAGGAGCATAACTTACAGAGTTGTTGAATCTCTGAGTTGTACACCTGAAACTAATGTAACATTGTGTCAATTACACTTCAATTACAATTACTTAAAGTGTTTAAGATGGTAGATTTTATGTTATTTGTATCTTACCATGATTTTTAAAAAAAATTTTCTTAAAAATAAAAATATCCCAATGCATCTTATTCCCACGGAAAAATAGACTTTTTTTTTCTGGTCTCCAGAACAATCTCTTAGAAAATCATATCAACAGCAAGAACATCTTGAAGCTTCTAAATCAGCTTTGGGAATTGTGGAGCACTTTGTGGAGCAGAGAACAGGAAACAGGGTCTGTCTAAACACAAGGAAAGGAAACAGTCATTTCCCTGCTTGTCTTCAGCACTGTTTATGTAAAAATATTCTGCCCTCTGAGATGTTTTGACTTTTGGTATCCTCCTCCTAGGCAAGCCGGAAACCCTGAGGGTTGACATCTTCACTCTTTGTTTCTAAGCAACAACTGAAAGTCAGCATAAGAAAAAGAATTTTTAATTAAAGAGAACAGAGCAAGAAATTGAACCTCAATTTTATCTCTTTCCCACATCACCACCGAGGCAGGAATCCAGGCACTTGAAGCTATGCAATTTTTCCCAGTTTATAAACCAAGAGTTTAATTAAGTTTCTTAAGATTTCTATACCCTTTGGCAAATTATTTCCTCTATTACAAACATCTTCCTTGGATCCCCAAAAAGTTTAAGAAATAATTATAACATACTTGATAACACAAAAGTCCTTTGAGTTGAAAGTCCTTGACTTAACAGCAGTTTATTTCTGTTACTGTATTTTAATTCTACCTGCACAAAGAACTCAAAACGCACACACCCCACACACGTCCCTTTATCCTGTATTACCAATGAACTTATTTTTCATTAAATATATTTTCAGTAGAAACATGCATAGCTATTAATATTCAGTATAGTTTTTGGAGTTATATCCCAAGTCCTCGAGGGTAGAGTATTTACATAAATCTTTTGGAACTTTTCTGTAAGGAGACTTGCTTATGCTTCTCACTTGATTTTTTTTATAAGATTTTATTTATTTATTCGACACAGAGAGAGTGATCACAAGTAGGCATAGAGGCAGGCAGAGAGAGAGAGGCGGAAGCAGGCTCCATCCCAGGACCCTGAGATCACAACAGGAGCTGAAGGCAGAGGCTTAACCCCCTGAGCCACCCAGGTGCCCCTTGATCTATGTTGATATCAGTAGGAACTCATTGATATTTATTATATACTTTGGGTATAGTCCATAACTACTTGATATCGTCGCTGAAATTGTCGCTTCAGGCCATGTGTTCCTCCATATGCTTGGCTGAGGAAGAACAAAAGAAAACAGGAAGACAAAACTGAGTGTTTACTGTGTGCAGGCACTGTCTTGGGTCCTTCTTGTCTTTGAAACTTACTTTAACAGCATTCAGTGTCTGAATTCCATGTACCCGCAGGAGCACAAGTTCTGGTGTTCTAACCAGGTGGTGACTTAATACCAATTACCCTACCTCCCTGGACCCCAGATTCTTAATCTGTAAAATAAGGATAATGCGTGTTTACAGGGTTGGGATGAGGATTATGAAATTAACTAGCTTATGAAATTAATTATGGGCTTCACAAAAGGAACAAATGAGTCCAAATATAGGAGGTGCCTGGGATAGTCAGAGCCACAGGAAGGAGAATGGTGGTACCAGGAGCTGGAGGAGAGGGGTGTGGGGAGTTTGTGTTTTACGGCACAGAGTTACTGGGGCTGGATGCACGACAGTATGAATGTACTGAATGCTGCTGAGTTGCGTTTGAAAATGGTTAAAATGGTAAATGATGTGATGTGTATTTTACCACACAGAAATATATGCTCATTGTTAAAAATTTAGAAAAAAAAATTTTTTAAGTGTTTTAAGTCCTTAGTGGGGGACCTGGCTGGCTCTGTCAGTAGAGCGTGGGACTCTTGACCTTGGGATTGTAAGCTTGAGTCCCATGTTGTGTGTAGAGATTACTTAAAAGTAATTTTAAAAAGCTTTTAAAATTTTTATTTATTTTTTAATTAAATAGTTTATTTTTTATCACGTTCAGTTAGCCAGCATATAGTGCATCATTGGTTTTTGATGTAGTGTTCAATGATTCCTTAGTTGCGTATAAGACCCAGTGCGCATCACAACAGGTGAATAAAAAAATTCTTAAAAAAAAAAATCCTTGGTAATCCCTGTACTCAGTGGCCGCTTCTGTTTTGTCATTTGTAGCCCCTGTATGGTCTGGATCCTACTCTTTTAACACTATATGCATGTATTTCCCCAACATGGTGAAAACTCAATGACCATTTTATTAGCTGCATGATGGTACACCATCACTGATTAGGCAGTGATTAGTCATTAGTCATATTTTTCAGCATTATAAATAACACTATAATGAACATCTCTGTGAATTAATATATCTTTAATATAGACCCAGAAGGAGAATTACCGAGCCAAGAGGCGATCATGTTTAAGGCACGTGATATACGCTGTCATACTTAGGAAGGTAATCCGACTACCTTGCCACAGGCTACCTGAAAAGACACTAGTTTGAAGGCACCCACAGGGGCTGCCCAACGTTAAATACGGTACTTTTTTGTTGTAAAGTTGTCTGCTAATGTTGTTCTTCGATTTCCCCTCCCCCTCTGTTACACTCAGTCTTCTTTAATCATTTGTATGAAACTGTATATAGTAAGGTTATTAATTTTCCCTCGCTGCCTTTAATTGGCGTTAATTATTGTCAAACATCTGTTGCTTTTAAGAAAACAAAATGTGGAAATATTTTTATTTCTTAAGTTCGTTGATTTTCCCCCCATACAGCACACGGAAATTCCCATAAATCACACACAGCAAGCTCCAGTTCTCAAACGCAGCGTCAGTGGGGAGCGGAGGAGCAGGGGCTATTTAAGCAAATACCCACCCCCTGCCCCGCCCGCCCCGACTCCAGGCCTGCCGCCGCCTTCGGTGTTCTGTCGCCGGGGCAACTAATAAACCAGCATTCCTTCCACCTAACCCTGCGCTGGCGACGGTGGCAGCTGCGCTCCCGCGCGCCCTGGAGCCCCGCAGCCTCGGGAAGTGTCCTCAAAGCCGGGCGTCGGCGCCTCCAGGCGCATCCAGGCGCTTTCTAAGCGCGGCCGCCGGCTAACCGGAGGCAGATCCCTCGCACCCCTATGCGGAGTCCTGCTCTTTCCCAAGACCCGGCACGGTGGGCAGCGTACTCTCTTCTCTCTCTCCTCTCCGCGGCCTTCCACCGCCTGGAAGCGCAGCCGCGTCTCCACCCAACCCGCTTCGCGCAGCGCCGTCGGGGCATCCCGGGCTCGCGCTCCGGCACCTCAGGCAGGGCAGGTCTACGTGGGTCCCGAGACAACCATAACTGCCCCCCGCCCCCGCAACCGCGCGGCTGCTTAAAAGCGTGGACGTGAGATCCTCCGGAAATCTGGGCACCTAGACGCTGCCGCTGGAACCAGAACCCCTAGGCCTGCGGGGAGCCCCAGAGGGGCAGGAAGAAGCCAGGGACCCCTTCGCTCCCGCGCCCAGCAGGGGAGGCCCCTGCGCAAGTGCTCCGTCACCCCCGACCCCATAGGGAGGGGGCCCTACAGAACCCCCCCACCCCAAAACGTGCCCTCCTCTCCGCGTTCCCCAGGCTTCCTCGTCCCCGCCCCTGGCGACCCTCCCTAGGTTTCCTTTGTCCCCTCCACACCCTCGCTCCGAGCTTTCTGAGTCCTTTCCACGGATAGTTTCCCCCTCCCCCACCTCACTCCCCGCGCGGCGCCCCTTCTGAAGCTTTTCTCCTCCCCTCCCCCTCTCCGGCTTCCCCGTCCCTTCCCGCAGCCTCTCCTGCGCCCTCTCCGCCCCCTCCTCCTCGGTTTCCCTTGTCCCCTCCCGCCCCGCCCCCGTTTTTAAACCTGGCGCGGAGCGCACTGGTAGGTGAGCGCTCTCGCCCGAGCGGTTAGAGGCGCGGCCGTGTCGCTGGCGCCGCCGGCACCATGAGACCCAAGGCGGCGGCCGGAGCCCGGGAGGCGCGCGGGCGCGTCTGTCATTGCCCCGCGGATGGTGCCCGGAGGCCACCACCGCCGCGCGGGCCCGAGAGGTGAGGGTGTCCCCGCGGCCCCCTGGACGCGTCGAGAGGCGCGCGGCGCGTCGGGGCAGCGAGCGCAGAGCGGGATGCCAGGGCCGTGGAGGTCCCCGAACCCTGGCGGAGCCCCGGAGCCCGACCGCGACGCCAAGCAGGTTCCCTAACCTTGGACGGGGACGCACGGTGCTCTCCATTTTCCGCGCACAGCGCCAAAGTGTGGAGGCCCGGGAGGCGCACACCAACCAATGGGCCAACGCTTCCATTCATAGATCTGAAATTCACCGGGCTGGGAACTTGAAGTCTCGGAGCCTCCCAGCTAGCCTTCCAGAGGGTCCCCTCACGTTGACTGTCACACTCTTGATGACAGTCTTTGTTTGCCCTGCACTTGGGGCTCAGCCCTTTCAAGATAGTACAGTTAAAGTGTGGAAGGGGCTGGGTGGCTAGGCAGCCAGAGAGGAGAAACCCATTCCCCAACCCCCCCCTTTGCATTGTAGAACCCTGTGGAATCATCTCTGCGGGGTCAAGATCCTTCAGCAGCCCAGGGGGTGCAGTTGAAATTAATGAGCAACAAAAGTAGCCAGCTACAGTGGGGAATCAACTGGAGACTCCATTTGGGTTGGAAGGGGATATCTCTCAATTTACGTGTCTCCTGATATGCATCAGATTATCTTCTCAAAGCCAGTGAAGGCAGAGAAGAATGTGGCAGGAGAGAAAAAAACAAAAACGCAAATAGCATCAGTTTATTCACAGACTGAGAACTTGAAAGAACTTTCTATGATATCCAGGGACTCCCAGTCAAACACTGGAATTGCTAAGAACGATAACTCTTATGATATAATTTTAAAAGACAGCAGAAAATTCTGGGGTTCACCTCTGGTCCCTGCCTTTCCAGCCCCACACCGTGGAGACCTTGGATCCTCACATCCCAAGAAGCTGAGCTGACCAGAACTGGAAGCCGGGTAAGGCTAAGGTGGGCATTGTGGTATCGAGGGTTCAGCCAGAAAGTGGCACAACTCAAAAATGACCATGAAAGGCCTCCTCGGCCTCTCCCTCCCTGGTCCCCTAATGCAGAACTGCCTGTGGGCCTGGGAGAGGGAACCTGGGTGAACTGGCGGTTGATCAGACTTGAGTCACATGTATAGACTGGGCTACTGCTTTCTTTCTTGAAAGCAAAGCCACTATGGCATAGCTCTTTCAAGGGCATTATAAGAGAGTTCTAGAAAAGCGAGCGAGAACGACAGAGATTTCTTTATGTTGAGTTGCCCGCTGCAAACGAGCAGGTGTAGAGAGGAGGGGAGAAGGCTGCCCCAGTCCCCCTTCTGGGTGTGCCATTACTGGTGGGCTGGTACCACAGTGTAAATAAGGGCAGAAACCAGTCTGGGGTGCCCAGAAGTGGTGGTTAAAAGCCGCCACCCATCATCTGGCCCTTCCTGAAGCACTTTTGGCCAGTCTGCAAGCACTCCTGGGGTAATTCATGTTGTCTGAGCAAATACACTCCCGCCAAGGGTTTGTGGGTAAAGATTAATCTCCACCACAATTCTTTTGTTTCCTGCATTGGTACCTAAATTGCTTTATATTTATTGAAGTAATGGCTTGCTTTCATAGACTTTACCTTTCCTTTCCAAAAATCTTAAAATGTAAGCTGATGACTCTTATAATGCTGGAGAGCTAATCAGGCTGAAAAGGACCATGCATTTAATTTACCCAACATGTGGTATAGGTTATGTGTACAGTTATTTGTAATATGATAAGAAACTCGGGTACATGAAAGCTGACCTTTGACTGTATTTTGATATTCAAACTACTTTACTAAATTAGCTTGGATAATGGAAGTTTTCATTGTTGCTTTTATTTAAAAAAACTAAACATGCAATCTGTATCAGATTAACAAGGTATATGATTTTGTAGCCCAAGTTACGCTTAAATACGTGCAATATCTAACTAATGGAAAATAATTAACACCTTTTGCATTCAAGCTCAAGTTCTTAATAAGATTTAAAAAGTGCTTGAAAGAGGGAGAAATTATAGTTCACAATTATCCATTTTTTTGTTGTTAAATGAAATGTATAAGGAGCCTATCCGTTGTTGTAAGAATAAAAATACAATAGCACAGTATAGTATTCAAGGCAGATGGGGTTTTTTTTTCCTCTTAGGATGAGAAGGATATTTGTGAGAAAAAACGATTACTTGCAGGAGAGTGTTAAACTGTAGGAAGTTGCTAGTTGATCGTCAGCATGGCAGGGTTGTGTCCGTGGATTTGGAGGGGAGTTGCTCTCAGGGGACTGGCTAGCTTTTTGCAGAGCCCAGCTGGCCAGGCGGAAAGGACAGCAGCGGGCGACCGCAGGTTGCATGTAACGCTCACGGATCCGGGACCCCGGGCAGGGTGAGCGCAGCTTAGCGCGGGAAGAGAACGCTTGCTCAACAGCGCCTTCTCCCGACAACGTGGGAAAATTCCTTGGCTCCAGAGCCCTGTTGCGTATTTCTCGAGAAATTCGAGAGCCGGGTTCAAAGCCCTGTGCCCTGAGCACCTGGGTCACCCTCACCCATTTGGTACCCTTACCTCCCCTTGGGAGCGGTCTCCCTCTCCTGCTTGGGGAAAATGAACCACAGCCCAAGCCTTTGTTGACCTCTGTTATACTTCCCTCCTGGCCCCTTGCCCATCTTGCAAGGGAGGTGATTTCCTGAAAGGAGACGCCTGGGGCTGTGTCCTGCTGGGCTCATCCTCCCATGTTACAGGCTTCCCACCCCATCGCTTTATCGGAGTCAGAGGCTGCGTGGGGAGGAGAACCGGAGACTCCAACGGAAGTCTACTTTTATCTCTTCTCTTACTCCTAAGGACACACACACCTTTCCTTGTATACATTCCTGATCCCCTTGAATTATCCAAGTGTGAATGTGTAGACATTTCTGCCAACAGAAGATGATCTTTAATTAGAAGATATTTGTGGCATAAAGCTATGTATGTTGGGGGGTAAAGTTTTAGAGTTTGTAAAGGTGTATTTTATGTTTCACAGAGTCTGGTTAGAATTACTCACTTAAAGGAAGCTGTTTTTCTGTACTGACACTGTCTTTTGGGGTCCACCAAAGTTTGCCCTGTTGCTTTAGATGCTCTCCCCTCACAGGATGTAAAATCACCTCTGACAGCGCAGGATTGCTTACTGTGTTAGTCGGCAATTAGGGGTATTTTATAATTAAAACACAGCTTAGCACGGACATGATTCTCTGGAGTCCTCAAAAAGTGAACTTCATTTTGGAGAAGATTGTGTTCAAAGAGCTTCTTTTTCTTTCCCTGACATCGCTTATCACAGCATATTGTAAAAAATATAATGGTAAAATATAATGACATTTGCTCGCAAAGGCTACACGGCTATCACTGTGGGATGGACTGGGTGTGATGATTGTTGGTGACGAACCATCCTCAGGGTCCTTTCTTGTCCTGCTCTAGCAGGTTTTGTCTCACTCCTGATCTGGATCCTTCTAAACTCCATGCAAACCCAAGCGCTGGGCTTTCTGACCCATTGCCCTAGCTCATTTCATCTCACTTTCAAGCAAAAGCGTCTCTTCCCGCCTTCCATAATAACTACAACTTTCGGAGCTCTGAGGTGGAGGAGCTCTGAGATCGAATGACAGTTGCCAGCTTTGTAGCCCATCAGATCATCTGACCACAGTTCAGGCCAAGTTCATTGAGATTCAGGACCTCATGAATTTGGGCAGAATGGGGTCAGGTCTGGACAGGCAGAGTGTGGCTGTCCCTTTGCCTCCCTAGCACCAACACTGGTCACCGCAAGGACAAGCCTGGCATGCGATCTCTCTCTCTCTCTGCTTGTATCTTATCTCCATCAACGTAGCCCTTAGTTCCTCATACTGGCTTCCCTCTCCTCCACTCGTGACATTCAAGTGGTCAGGTTGTTTTTTGAATACGACTGAAGTGCTCTTGGAATCCACCTTTCCTTTCCCTTCCTGTCCCTGTTCAGACCTTTATCCCATCTTGACCCGTACCTCCGAGCCCTTACCTCCCCAAGCTAGGCTGTGCGCTGGTCCCTGGGGCCACCATATCCTTGAACTACAGATCTGACGGTTGAACTCCTCACTCAGAAATCAGTGACGGTCTCTAGTGCTTCTCCAGAATGAAACCCAGGCTCAGAAGTAGGTCCTCAAGGCTTCCTGCTGAGCCCCATTAAATACCACAGCTTCTCCTTCATTCTGCACTGGGCTCCTCACCCTTCTCACCTATGATCTCTGTTTTCCGTCCCCGCAGAATTTGATGTTCCCCTCCGCCAAGAATGGTCTCCGACTTGCACACCCAAATGCTGTTGATGTCTCCTCCAGGCCCTCTGTGAACCTTTTCTTCCTCCCTGCTTAGAATTGTTGGCATCGGGGCACCTGGGTGGCTCAGTGGGTTAAAGCCTCTGCCTTAGGCCCGTGTCATGATCTCGGAGTCCTGGGACCGAGTCCCACATCGGGGTCTCTGCTCAGCGGAGAGCCTGCTTCCCTCTCTCTCTGCCTCTCTGCCTACTTGTGACCTCTGTCTGTCAAATAAATAAAAAAAAAAAATTAAAAAAAAATTTTTGGCATCTTGCTGTAAGAGGCTTTGTAGTGTAATCATTTGCCTAAGTGTGTCTTTTCCCATTAGATTGTAAAAGCCTGGGGGCACCTGGGTGACTCAGTCATTAAGTGTCTGCCTTTGGCTCAGATCATGATTTCAGGGTCCTGGGATCGAGCCCCATATCAAGCTCCCTACTCCTCCCTCTCCCTCTACCCTTGCTTGTGTTTCCTCTCTCTCTGTCTCTCTCTGTCAAATAAATAAAGTCTTTTAAAAAGAGACAACAACAAGAAACGCCTGAACTGAAGGACTATATGGGACTCATCTTCCTGTCTTTGATCCCTCACGGTGCCCAGGAAATCTCTGACAGCAGGAAGAGAAAGAGGCTCACGAATTACCATAAAGGTGTTTAAACTGTCTCTAAATTCGTATTGCTATTAAGAAGTGCAAACCAGGGACGCCTGGGTGGCTCAGTTGGTTGGACGACTGCCTTTGGCTCAGGTCCTGATCCTGGAGTCCCGGGATCGAGTCCCGCATCGGGCTCCCGGCTCCGCGGGGAGTCTGCTTCTCTCTCTGACCTTCTCCTCACTCGTGCTCTCTCTCACTGTCTCTCTCTCAAATAAATAAAAAATCTTTAAAAAAAAAAAAAAGAAGAAGTGCAAACCACTTAGATTTTCTTTTCTAGAATTTCAAGGTGCTACCTCAGAGGGATGTGTTTGACTATGTCTGTGTTTGTACGTGTCTGTCTTTACAGCTTGAACCTGGAGGTGACCAACAAACTCCGGGATCAAAGGGGGCCTTTGGGTTTCAGCATCCTGTAAGGTAACATGACCTCACAGTAAGAAATAGATTATTTTCTTTTAATAGAGACATAAATACACTTTTGTGTCTTCAACTGTGCACATTCTTGACAAAGTAGAAAATAATTCTGTATATTGTCTAATATTTAGTTATTATGACCTCCCAAAACTTCAAGGATATTTTGTTGGATTTCTGGAATCCATTCATTCATTCAGTGTTCTAGTTGCAGATTGGATTGACGTCTTTCCTTTAAGTCTTTTGTTCATATCTCTCATTACATTTCATGTCTTGGGTTAAATTCAGCGGAGTATGACTTGTATGGGTGTATCTATTTATTTACTTAAGTATTTAAGTCTATTCCGATTTGTCTCCTGGCTATCAGTTAGTGTACTGTCTAAAGCAAAGTAAACCTTCCAAATACGTGTGTGACTGAATAAAGGGCTGGGGGGAGGCTCCACCATGGTGGCCCCTCTAGCCTTTCTGTGCTCCCACGGTCCTGGGGGTGACAGCACCCCCACTGCTGTGTCCCTCTTACATTCATCCTCTGAGGCAGGTGGCTCTTGCTCAGGACTTAGGTCTGTTTCTCTGTCTCTTTCTCTCCCCGTCTCTTATTCCCTTCAGCAAAAGGAGCCACTCCTCCTCAGAGTATTTTTACCCTGGCTATCCCGGAAGACTGAAAACTTTAGTAAGATCCAGAGATCCTCATTGCCAGATATGAAATCGAAAGCCCTTCCGACTGGTCAAAGAGTGATTTCTGGAAAGGGAAGCTTTTCCATCCCCATAGGATCACTTGGGAAGCTTTATTTTTATTTTATCTTTTTATTATAAAAATTTTCAAGCTTACACACAAGTGGAGAGAAGAGTCCTGTGACCCCCTCCCAACATGCCCATCACCAGCCTCAATAATTATCAACAATCTTCAGATCTGATGGTGTTTATCACCCTCTCCCAATTATGTTTTTATTGTTGTTAGAATTTTTTTTTAAAGATTTATTTATTTGAGAGAGAGAGTTTGAGTGGGAGGAGAGAGGGAGAGGAAGAGAGAGAATCCCAGCCAGACTCCCTGCTGAGCACAGAGCCCAGTGCTGGGCTCAGTCTCACAACCCCCCCCTCCCCGGCCCCCCACCCCACCCCCTACCCCCACCCACCACCCAGATCATGACCTGAGCGGAAACAAAGAGTTGGAGCTTAACTGACTGTGCCCCCTGGGCACCCCTGTTAGAATTTTAAATCAGTTCCAGGCAACTTACAAATTCAAATTCCCCTGTAAATAACTTCAGCATTACCGGCTAATTTTTAATATGGCCAAACCCTAAACTATGTTTATATTTCTGTCATTATCTGTAATTTATATAATATAGAAATACATATAAATTTAAGGAATATATATATATATATATATATATATATATATATATATATATAATAGAGAGAGAGAAAAAGAAAACCATATAATGGTTTTACTTGTTGCAGTGGCTGTTTGTTGCAAAGTTCCTCAACCCCAGCACTGCCAACACTTTGAGCTGGACAATTCTTTGTTGGAAGGTGCCGTGGTGGGCATGATAGGGATGTTTACCAGCATCCCTGGGCTCTGCCCACTCATGCAAGTAGCTCCTCCTCCGTCAAGGTAACCAGAAATGTTTCCAGACATTGCCAAACGCGCTCTGGAGGTTGAGAATCCCTGATTTATCAGGAATCTTAGGAAGGTCAGAAGGGTGCTTGGGTGGCTCTGCTGTTAAGTATTTGCCTTTGGCTCAGGTCATGATCTCCCCCTCATCCCCTCCCTCATCCAACTCCTTGCTCAGCAGGAAGCCTGCTTCTCCCTCTCCCACTCCCCCTGCTTGTGTTGTCTCTTTCTCTCTGACAAATAAATAAATAAATAAAATTTAAAAAAAAAATCTTAGGAAGTTCGGAATCGTCATGCATTATTTATAGTAGGGCGTTTTCTTTCTCTCTTTTTTCCTCCATCCAAGAGAGAAATTACAATCAGCTTTGCAGGGGTGCGTGGCTGGCTCAGTTGGTAAAGGATGTGACTGGATGTTGGAATTGTAGGTTTAAGCCCCATGGTGGGCGTAGAGATTATTTAAAAATAAAAAAATAAATCAGTTTTGCAAATAAGTGGTGGTCAAATGATAATCCCTCTCAGTTCCTCAGAAGACCTCAAGAAAAAATGCAAATAAATTAGTGAATGAAAGGTGTAAGAATGAGGGATTATGGGGAGAGTGAGGGGTATTTTAAACACTTTCCATGAGGGGCGCCTGGGTGGCTTAGTGGGTTAAGCCTCTGCCTTAGGCTCAGGGTCTGATCTCAGGGTCCTGGGATCAAGCCCTGCATTGGGCTCTCTGCTCGGCAGGGAGCCTGGTTTCCCCTCTTTCTGCCTGTCTCTCTGCCTGCTTGTGATCTCTCTCTGTCAAATAAATAAATAAATAAAATCTTTAAAAAATAATAATAATAATTAGTTGCTTCTCTAGACTGGGGTTTCAGAGCCAGATTTCCTCCAGAGCCCAAAGGGTCACAACATTCCCCCGACTTGGGGGTGTTGCGGGGGATAGGGACCTAACCTAAATAAGACATACATTCTCCAGGATACATGACATTCTCGCTTTGATCAGAATGAGACTCTTCAACGTGAAACTCAGTGTTTTAATTTCCTTTTACCTTCACGGAGGCACACCCTTTCTCCTGTGGTGGTCTAAATCAATCTGCTCACCCCGATTATAGGCTCATTTCTGAACCGGTGTGTAGGGTTCCTTTGGCCAGGTCTCTCCACCTGCCCACGGTTTTGCGTTCTAATGATTTAGGAAACACTCTGTGCGCAGCGAAGGCAAGATCAGAGAGGGAGATCGGGGGTTAGCTGCCTCTAGGGGAGAGGACCCGCTAGTGGGAGTTTGCCTGTTTCTAGGTGATTAATGGTGTATTTGTTTCTTAAATATTAGACTTTATTTACCCATTTCAAAGCGCCAAGAGTATCTGCAAAGTTCTGGGGAAAAAGTGCTGGCCAGTTTCCCAGTGCAAGCCACAATCCACTTCTACAACGACGAGTCCGATTCCGATGATGACGAGCAAGAGGCGGAAAACCAGACTTCCCACCTTCAGCGCCGGGAGATGCAAGGTCCGGCGGAGAACAGCCCGGGAGGGACGGGCAGAGGTGCGCCGACAAACCCAGGATGGAGTTCTGTAGGACACAATGGCCTCGGTGGGAAGGGTCCACTCCCTCATGGTGACCCTCCGGAGGGCACAGACCCTGCCTCACCCAAATAAATGGGGTCTCCCTCCCCCACACCAGACCTGGCTCACATGCGCTCTGGGGGACAGCTGTGCATTTCCCCTGGTGTACGGGGGTCGGTGACTGTCTCTGACCAGCACTCCAGTCACAGCAAGAACTTGGCTTGTAACTTTCCTGCTCCTGGTGATTCTCTTCAGGGCACTCATGCACACCATTGGAAAAGGTTTCTAGAACCAGGAGGTTTGTGTTAACATGGGTTGTCATCAGATGGGACCAAATTTCAAAGCGCGTTCATCTGGTCGCTCTGTCATCAAATGATAGGTCATTCCAGTCTAGGTTAATAACCCACCGTTCCTCTCACTTGACCTCAGACTTGTTATGTAGCTAATTCTAGTTTTGTAAGCAAAAGGATTTAGGCGTTGTCCAAGGGTGGATGTGTTTGCTTCGTGGCATTTCAAAAATATTTATGAAAAATAAACAAAACTGAATAATTTCCATAAAAGTAACAGAAACTTTAAATATGGATTTTTAGGGGAACAATTCTGGTTAAAAATTTATGATCCTTGTCTAAGGGCTGAGTGTATGAAGATATAGAGAAAAAAGCTTTAACTCTCAGTTGGGAACTGGTTCGGGCTTGTTACTTGAATAAGATAACACTGTTTTCAATCAGATTATCTAATATAAGATTATTTTCATTTTTTTATATTTTGATGATCAAATGATTATGTCCTACAAGTTTATTACTTATATGTATTTGTCTTCCTATATATAGTACACTACATAAGTTTATACTTGAAATAAATATTTTGAAAGACAAAATGTTTGATAATCACCTTTTTATGTAAAGACAATTTTATTAATTTATTTATTTAGATTTTTTTTTTTTTTGCGTGATCGCTACATCCAATGTGGGGTTCGAACTCACAAGCTCGAGATCAAGAGTCACACATTCTCTACCAACTGAGCCACCCAGGCGTCCCTTGTTTAAGACAATTTTATTTTTATTTTATTTTATTTTATTTAGTTACTTGACAGAGAGAGAGAGCACAAGCTGGCAGAGTAGCAGGCAGAGGAAGAGGGAGAAGTAGGCTCCCCGCTGAGCAAGGAGCCCAACATGGGGCTTGATCCCAGGACCCTGGGATCATGACCTGAGCCAAAGGCAGTTGCTTAACCAACTGAGCCACCCAGGTGCCCCAAGACAATTTTAGATTTAATTAGTGCCTGCGTTAAAGTTTTCATAAGTTTGTCTGGATGTTTTCATATTTAAATCTTTAAATGATAATTGTTTTTAAGAATAAAAATATACATATAAAAAACAAAAGAGATTATAACCTCGATGCCCAAAAAATCCACTGATACTAAAAAAATTAGCGTAATACATGCAAATACTTTAACAATCCAAACAGCATAGAAAAGCGTACATTTGCAAAAAGTCACGCTTTCCTGTTTTCCTCTTTCTCTATGCAAAGGTACCAAATATCAATTTTTTGATTGCTGCTCCCCTTTAGAAATTACTATTTGTTTTTTTTTTCTTTCTTTAAAAAAAAAATAACTGGAAATTTGTACCTCTTAATCTCCTTTATCTATCCCCCCATCCCCCCCCACCTGCTTCCCGTCTGGGGACCACCAAGTTACTCTCTGTATTTAAGAGACTATTTTGTTTGTTTGTTCGCTTGTTTTGTTTCTGAAATTCCACATGTGAGTGAAATCATATGGTATTTGTCTTTCTCTGACTTATTTCACTTACCATAAACCCCTCTAGTTCTATCCGTGCTGTTGCAAATGGCAAGATCTCATTCTTTTTTTTTTTTTATGGCTGAGCAAATTCCGTTGTGTGTGCTCATGCACACGCGCGCACGTGCACACACACACACACACACACACACACCCCTATACCACATCTTCATTTATCTATCAATGGACGCTTGGGCTGCTTCCATGTCTTGGCTGTTGTAAATAATGCTGCAATGAACATAGAAGGGCATCTATCTTCCCAAATTAGTGTTTTTGCTCTTTTGGTAAATATCAAGTTGTGGAATTACGGATCATATGGTAATTCTACTTTGAATTTTTTGAGGATCCTCCATAACGCTTTTCCACAGTGGCTACACCAATTTACATTCCCACTAACAGTGCACAAGGGTTCCTTTCTATCCGTATCCTCACCCACACATATTATTTCTTGTCTTTTTTTTTTTAAAAGATGTTATTTTTATTTATTTATTTTGAAGGAGAGGATAGCATGGGAGAGGGGCAGAAGGAGAGGAGGAGAGAGAATCTTAAGCAGATTCCATATCCAGTGTGGAGCCCGACTCGGGTCTCGATCTCACAATCTTGAGATCACGACCTGAGCCTGAATCAGGAGTCAGACACTTAACCGACTGAGCCATCCAGGTGCCTTGTTTTAAGATTCTTTTTCAGTAAATCTCTATACCCAACTCGATGCTCAGACTTAGAACCCTGAGATCAAGTCTCATGCTCTACCGACTGAGCCAGCCAGGTCCCCTGTTTCTTGTCTTTTTGATTTGTGAGGTGGTATCTCATTGTGGTTTTGATTTGTATTTCCCTGATGATGAGTGATGTTGAGCACTTTTCATGTGCCTGCTGGCCATCTTGATGTCATCTTTGGAAAACTATCGATCTCTGCTCATTTTTAATCAGATTTTTTTTTCTTTTTTTTGGTCTTTCTTTTTTTTTCTTTTTCAGATTTCTTCCTAAAATTCTTTTTATCAGTTAATTTTATTGTTTCTTTTTTCAGACTTAAAAACCTTTTTTCAGACTTAAAAACAATTCTACCTGGGCTTATTTCAGAAATGATATAAGATGGCCTTCTATTTTGCTGGGTTTTAACAAAAAAATATTAGAAGTCTCATCCTTACTGCCCCTCGGTGTGATGCACGAGGGGAAGCTTCAGTCATCACATTTGGCTTTGTTCTGTGTTTCTTAATAAATCACTTTTACTAAGGAAAAAAAAAAAGATCTGGCTCAGTCTCCAAGTTCCCGTTAAGAAACCAAACTCGGTCACCGCACATTCACTTACAAACTGTACGTTATATGGAACCATTTGAAGCTGCTGATGTTTTGACCTCCATTTCCATATGTTTTCAAAATGAACAAAATCATCTCGGTGGTATTTTCTACACCCTGCATTATTCCTTCATTTTCTGCAATAGCTTGCCTAATAATGATGCAGAAAGTAGATTTCACGTGCGGTGCCATCTACATACCTTCCCCCTGAAATCTTTTAAAATTTTGAATCAAAGCAGCCACTCCAACAAAGGGTACAATTAGCCAGGTTTCCATGAAATATATTATTTCAAATAAATAATCTGTGGTTCAGGCTTTCTGTGAGGCATCTTTCTGTGGTTCACCAAACATAGCTCCTAATGAATGTGATTATTGAACAGAATCTTGCAAACGCCACAAGCTGAAGCCTGTTAGGAACATTTGTACTTTAAGCCAGCTGCGTGGCAAACCTCCCACGTGGGGGAATTTGTTGCAATATTTGTTTCCGCCCATCTCCTGCTTTTCATGGAGTCTTCCAGCTGTGCAGCTAACAAAAGAAAGCAGTTGATGTTGACCCAATTGTTTCCTGTTCGTGATTTTAACCACTTCAACTGTGGTAGGAACAAAAAGTGTTTTCCCAGTGCTGTTTCTTTGTGAACTTCTGTATTAACAAGAAATTGCAAAGTAATCTGCTAAATGTTGTTAAGTTTGGTGACGTTTTGTAGAATACTAGATTGAGGATCCCATAGTTTTATACATATCAGTAATGTCAGGGGTCATCTGTGCTTTGCTTGAGGTTCAATGATAACGTGTTAATAACTCAATTATTTTCCTTGAGAATTTCAGTTATTTTTTGCTTACTTCCTATCGGATCTGTTCACTTGTGATGTGCCCAAAGATGAGCTTGTTAGAAAAGCATGGGTTTTAGGGGCACCTGGGTGGCTCAATCGTTAAGCATCTGCCTTCGGCTCAGGTCCTGTTCCCGGGGTCCTGGGGGTCCTGGGGGTCCTGGGATCGAGCCCTGCATTGGGCTCCCTGATCAGCAGGAAACCTGCTTTTCCCTCTCCCACTCCCCCTGCTTGTGTTCCCTTTCTTGCTGTATCTCTCTGTCAAATAAATAAATAAAATCTTCTAAAAAAGAAAAGCATAGGTTTCAGTGTTAACATTTTCTTGTTGGTTCGCTTGTACTGAGATTACCTGTATTATTTTCAACTCAATTTCAACTGAAGTCAAAGGGATTTTTCAATTTGTTTGTTTATTTGGGGAATTTATCATTTTTTTTAAAAAGATTTTATTTATTTACTTGACAGAGATCACAAGTAGGCAGAGAGGCAGGCAGAGAGAGAGGGGAGAAGCAGGCTCCCTGCTGAGCAGAGAGCCCCATACAGGGCTCCATGCAGGGCTAGATCCCAGAACTCTGGGATCATGACCTGAGCAGAAGGCAGAGGCTTCAACCCACTGAGCCATCCAAGCGCCCCTGGGGAACTTATTTTTAATCACCATTTCCTCCTTGTGATAGCTCATTAAAGAGGAAAACTACCTGTTTTTCTGGGTCTGCATGAGTCATTTTTGTAGACTTGCTGGTGAAAGTCCAAGGCATAAATAAGTAATTTTTTATGATGCTTTTGAAAATGGTGACTATTTGGGGCACCTGGGTGGCTCAGTGGGTTAAAGCTTCTGCCTTCGGCTCAGGTCATGATCCCAGGGTCCGGGATCGAGCCCCGAATCGGGTTTCTGCTCTATGGGGAGCCTGCTTCCTCCTCTCTCTCTCTGCCTGCCTCTCTGCCTACTTCTGATCTCTGTCAAATTAATAAATAAAATCTTAAAAAAAAAGAAAGTAATATGAAAATGGTGAGTATTTATAAAAACAACTTCAGTTCCCTTGGAGTTTGCTGGGCAAATCTAAAATATGATGTCACGGGGCACCTGGGTGGCTCAGCAGGTTAAAGCCTCTGCCTTCGGTTCAGGTCATGATCCCAGGGTCCTGGGATCAAGCCCCATGTCAGGCTCTCTGCTCAATGGGGAGTCTGCTTCCTCCTCTCTCTCTGCCTGCCTCTCTGCCTACTTGCGATTGCTGTCTGTCAAATAGATAAATAAAATCTTAAAAAAAAAAGCACTAACTATATAACCTATAAAAAAATGATGTCACTGTCATATTCCATTATGTCATTACGTGGTAACCTTTACAAACAAATTTTAAAATGCTGATGAACCAAAAAGAAAAAAAATACAGATTTTATTTCTATTTTATAGTTTGAAACATTTCACAAAGATGTTCAGC